AGCTCATTTTATTTGAGTCAACACACAAATGAGAATCTGTGTCACAACCAAGCGATATAAAACATATTGGACCTCTATCGTGAGTCTGTTTTATACTGTATTATCTTGCAGAAATCTAAAGATATCCAGCTTCAAATAATAATTTGTGTCTGATATGATTTTTACACAAAAAATGATTTGTTATAATTTATTAACATTACATCTCCTTTTCCCTCACTGAAAACAGAAAATGTGCCCTCCTTCACTGAAAAGTTCATTCTCAGTGTTTGAGGTTTCAAATTCCTGCATCAAACTTGTGTAAGTTGCATACGGCTTCCAAACTAGAAAAATTAAATAAAAGTAATTAAAATAAACATTTAAATAAAAACAGCCTTCAAGTGTCAAACTCATACATGATTGTGCACAGTGAAGCTCAAACATCCACACGACGTAACAATAAGCAGAAGCTGTTTTTGAGCGTTTCTGAACATTTTGACGTCTCTACTCAGAAACTTTTTGTCTTGTCGTGTATACAGTGTCACTTCGACTGTGCCTGTTTTGTTTGGGATAGTAGTTTGACAGCTAAACAAACAAATTACAGGTGATGCAAACTATCCTCAGCGGTAACGACTACACTACATTGATAGTAATCAATTTGGAAGTGTGGAACAGCTGCCTGCCTGCACAGCTCAGGGCAAAACAACAGAGGCTGCACAATATCATCAGTGGGCATCCTCCTGAATATCTGTTCATAACAATGTTTCATACTCAACATGGCGATAACACCGGGGACAGAAGCCGTTTTTTCATACTGGTGCTGTACTGTGAAACAGTCTTCCAGTAAATATGGAGTTGACAAAAACAAGAGGGACTTTTGGAGGTCAGGTCAGAGCTTATTCACGGAGTAAGGTGGCGGGTTATTCATGGGATTGCACTTGAGCTATTAATGTGTTTTTGTTGTATTGATGTGGATACTCATTTTCTGGTTTAGTTTGCAATGATGTAGTTTTTAATTTCAAGATCCTATTGGTCAATTTTATGCTTCATATTTTATATCTGTCTTTTAACGAATTGGGACCTTGTTGGGAATGTGTGTCTTCACTTTAACATGTTATCCCCAGGAACAGACTGTGCTTATTTATTATTTTGTCTTGAAACAAACTTGACATCTTTGTCTAAGTTTCATGACTTCGTCGTGTATGATCCCAACAGAAGGACAGAATTAGGTCTGATAGTCTGATTCATTGCTCTTAAAACTCATTTAGGGCTAAAAAAAAAAAAAAAAAAAAAAGCAACAGAAGAACAGATGAAAACGTTGGTACTAAAAGTACTGTACTGAAGAACAATTTTGAAGTACTAGTACATTATTTGAGTAGTATATCCACTTTCTGCTCATTTGTACTTCTACCTCACATTTCAGGAGGTAAATGCTGCACTTTTTCTGACACTACATTTATACCACAGCTATAGTTACTTTGCAGATAAAGATTTTACATGGAAGGAAAAATGATCAATTTGTGCAAACATGATGCACTTTTACAGAATAAAATACCCGACAGAGTATAAAGTAATTAAAATGATTAAAATGCTTCTGACGTTAATATGTTAATACACCAATGATCACTAGAATATATAATCATATAAGTGACAGGGACCATTCCGCTGCATAATGAGTACTTTTACTTTTAATACTTTAAGTACATTTTGCTGCTATACTTCCGTGCCGTTGTTTTAAGATTGTATATGCAGTACTGCAGCACTACTGTACTGCACTGGTGCCAGTTCTACTTCGGTAATAAGTAAATTGGATCATTTCTCCACTACTGGCAATCAGCTTTGGTTCAGGTTAGGGCATTTGTGACAGACGTGCCTTGGCATTTAATTACATAATCTTGAGCACAGGTTGTTAGTGGCAGACTGGCAGCCCGCCGCTGATGACCCTGCATGTGGAGACGTGAGGCGGAGGAGCTGTTCCTTCAGCACCACCTGAGCGCCGCGCCAGCAAAAACCGCGATTTCACCAGAAAGAAAAAAAATAAAAATAAAATAAAATAAAATAAAAACACGCCTCTTGATTTGCTCACAGATCAGGCCTGTTTGGCTTCTCACGACGCGACACCGCAGAAAGGTGTTGTAGCAATTTAACATCTGAACATCTTAGCATGCAAAACAGGCTCTCTCTTTCTTTCTCTCTCTCTCTCTCTACACACACACACACACAATGGGCTTTTCCACCTTACATGTCCAAGTGCATGCGTGTGTGTGTGTGTGTGTGTGTGTGCGTCTTACCTTGATCCTAACATAACAGTGGGTTCCCAAGGACGTGTCATTCAGACAAGCCGGGGGAGTTTCACGAATCACCCATTGGAAGGTTGTTGTCGGCCTTAAGATGATGCTCCACCAAAGTTTCAGCAGGGCTACGGTGGTGCAGAGAGCACAATAACCGTATATCAATGACCAATACCCCAAAACTCTGATTTTCTGCGCAAGTCTGATTAGAAATAACAGCAAGTTGTGAAGCACTCTCGCCATCTTTACATTGCCGCAGGAAATCGATCCGGATCACGTTACCTATTGATTTCTCTCTGTTACCTGGTCGTCTCTGTTTAAGTACTGCTCTGACAATGCCGTTGTTTCTCGTTACCAGCGCAAACGCACGACTGTCTGAAGGGAGGATCCCAACAAACGGCTGAATGGGACGGTGGCAAGAGCATCACGTCAGATTTCACGCTTGCGTGTGACAGCAGTGGTTGATCGCAGGGGACGGTGCTGTTGACTATACAAGGCAAGTCCGAAATCAAGCGATAAGCTACTCGATGCGGAGCTTTACGCTGATTTCAGCTCGGCTGAGGGGCGCCGTTAGGCACGCTGAACCCCCCCTAAAAAATCACTGCAAAGCACCGTGGCTGTAGTGTGCCGCTGTCATGGCAACAACACTGTATTAAAAAGGCAGCATGCGCACATGTGCAGTTATTTCACTGTTCATTTAAAACAACTATAATGATTTAATCCATTATCTGCCCAACCGGTTCTAATAATAAGTGGCTGCTCGCAGGTATGATTGGCGTTTTACTGGGCAGCGCATTGATATTTTAATCTGCTGTAATGCGGTCAGAGGTGTGCATTGTTAGGGTTGGCTACTGTGTAAACCACACACAGTGGAGCAGGTCCGTGTGATTGAAAACACAGCTGTCTGGAGCCGAGATAGCACACACGATGAGACAGTTAACCAATTTCAGATTAGCCCGACCCCTCACGTGACTGGATATGTAACAGAGGAAGACCTTTGTACTCTTCAGGGCACCGAAATGTCATACACGGTCATCAAACAAGCAGCCTAAACTATATAAATAATACTGTTAGTTAACTGAAATGGAAAGAAAAATTAATGTTTCCACTTTTCCTTTATTATTTGATCAGTTTGAATATTTTTGATAACTATTGGTGAGACTTTAGGAAATATTTCGCAACTATTTTTGCATGAAGAGAGATGGGATAACACACTTATTGTACATGTATGTTCAATATTTTTTTTAATCTTATTTGTACCTATATATGAGGTATTACTATCATAAACAGCAGCCTCCCGAATGGATGAAACATAGTAATGTACATCTACTATATTTATCCAACATATGAGATAGAATATTTTCCCCATCTCAGAAGGTACTTCCTCATTGCATATCAACTGCTGTCCTGTCCTGCACTGCTTATCTGCTTTTGCACTAGTTTAGAAACCACATGGCAGATAGTTGACTATGTTTAAACATCTTGTATTCAAGTGGTTAAAGCAGCAAAGCTGGAAAAACTGAGATTAGAATACTTGTGTTTTGGCCCTGAGCTGCTGGGAGTCAGTAGAGGGAGTGTCCGGCTAAAGCTGTGCGGGAAGGTAGCAGATAAACTATTAAATGTGCCTATAAAATGGGTTGTTCTTTATAGTGAACTCATCAGCCTACAGGATATTGATGTAGTCAGTAAGAGTGAAAGGAGAGAAGTGCACAGCCACAGGATTAGACTCTGGCTCCAGGCCTGGACAAAATTAGTAGCTGTTATTTTCGCTATTAAGTGAAATCAAGCTGATGAACCTCTGAAATTAGTTCCACAATTCTATACTGATCAGGCACAATCCCTATGCTGTATAAGGGTGTTATTAAAATCTGTATCTGATGGGTTGTAGTCTGCACCACACTGCAGTTATGACTGGATGAAGTGATGTGAATTGCTTAGTGAAAATAGGTTTATTATTTTGAGTAAAAAAAAAATTTCTTATTTATACTAGCATATACAAACGGTAACATACAGAATGGTAACATACAGAATATGTTGATAATGTCCAAAAACAACTTTGGAACGGCCAGAACTGTATGAAGAACAAAGTGCAGTGCATATCCAGTTAACACAATGGATGGCATTTTCAAGTGGTCAAGCAAATAAGGCACTGAGATTGAACCAGTTCCCACACTGGAAACACTGGTGACAACTTGCTTCAATCTCTGTTTTTAAAAAAAAAAAAAAAGAGAGAAAAAAGACATTGTTAATAAAAATGTTTTAGAGAGGAAAAAAAAAAAAAAAAACAGTCACAGGACTTGTGCGTGTAACCAGTGTTTTGTCTACATTTAACATATTTTTGAGTCAGGGTTAACTGAGGCATGGTGGTGAGGGTTCATTAACTGGAATAACCTAAAACACAAGAACAAAACAACACTGCACATTTCAGCGAACAAGACAACAGTGTGGCATTTTAACTGCAGTGTATGGATGCATTAATTGGCTTGTCATACACACCTGTCAGCTGTAAGTGGACTCATCCAAATGTGAAAAGAACAGAAAAACATGCATGCTTCACCTTAATCCCACATTCAAGAGTGCATCAGTGCAGACATTTACTAACCATTTCAAATACAATTTAAGGGCAAGACACATTTATACTTTTTTTTTTTTCCTCACAATTAACTATTGTGAAATAACAATCAGAAGTCTTGCACAAAAGGACACATTTTTTGAGTAAATCCCATGTCATTTTTAGTCCAGGTTAAGCTCAAATGTAGTCATGATGTCCTGCTGCATAGTCATGTCAATACCAGACATCTATAGAGAGAGAAAGACATATAGAATTACTGTCAAAATCCCATTTTACCACAAACAACATCAGACTAAAACCTGGACGAAAGGTACTCACAGCCTCTCGCCTGCGACGCTCTTGTTCCTTTCTGCGGGCCATCTCCCTTTCCTTATCTACTGAGGACTGTGTGGTTAGAGGTCGTGTTTCCTTGGGAGACTTTGGCTTCATTGGCTGCTCGACATCTTTGGACACATCTAAGGCAACCTCTGTGCAAATGCTCTCTGGTGAATCAGCATCCTCTTTAATAGGCTGTGGATTTTGTTCTGCTTTACATGGGCCTGGAAGGCTAGATGGAGAATGTCCTTGGTACTTAGAAGTTGCTCCCTTTAAATCAGGTATCAAGCTTCTGCAGAGAAAAGCTAGTGTGGCTTATCAGCTTCCTTTTAAAAACGAGGATTTGGACACTCTGAATCATACAATGCAGTGGTATCTCATTAACTTATTCTAAGGGCAGCAATAAATTTTAGCCTGAGAAACTAAAAGAAATACATTTAATGCAGTTGCTATTTCGGTGGGAATACCTGCTGTTTTCCGGAGCCTCCTTCTCCTTGTTTTCTTCAATCTGTTTCTTCTTCAGTGCTTTTTCTCGTTCCTCTTTCTCAATGGCAGCCTTCCGGAAATGCTGGAAGCTTTCCTTTGAGGACTTGATTGTAGCTGGAGTGACTGACTGTCTCACCAGTCTCGCCCAAGACTCAGCATTTTTCAGAACAATGTCCTAAACAAGAAAAATGACTATGTTCACTTGCAAGCTATTTAAAATGTGGTGGTGGTGGGGGGGGGAGATAAACCTGTTGAAAAACATCAAATGGCATTAGTGTTGTCATGGACAATACTTTGACGCCCTCCAGTGGTGGAAAGATGAATTGTATGATGCAAGTTTGAACTAAAACAAAGTAAATGTGCACTATTTTCAAATTAAATAATAAATGAGGTATAAAATAATTTTGGCCAAGTATTTAGATTTTAAAAAATTGTATATTGTCAAATTCGAAGTTAAATTTTTTTTACTGTGCTGTTTTGATTTTAGCAGATGTTGCCCAATTCATTTTTAAAATGAATTACCCATCAGTTTGTCTTACTAGAGTTCCATTTAAAAAAAGAGAAAAGAAAATGTGTGGCAGAACTGATTTAAATTAAACTAACTTTTCTTTAGTTTGAGTCCTTGTTACACCCCATCCTCTGCATCTTGATCTGTAGAATCATTCTTCAACAAGTCAGGAAGAATATTTGTCAGCCGTAACAGTAACTCAGTTAAACAATGCTAACCTTTTTGGGAATTTGGGGTTTTTCCTCTTCAGCAGATTTACTTGCTGAGTTTGTGAAAGGCACATCAGTCAACTGGCTGTCAAGGACATCCTCAGGGTATCTGAAATCTGGGATAATCACTTTACAAGTTCATGTTGTGAAGTATTAGTCATTTTTCATAAATGGTGATGTCAAAGGAAGAGTCTCGTAGTGACTTACTGGGCCTCGTCTCATCTTTCGACTGTAGTGGGCTCTCTCTCAGAGGGGACAGCACTGGGCCCTGCTGACAGGTCAGATTTAGTTTTAACATTTAAAATCAGGCCTAAAGAGTAACTTAAACACCCCATGAAAATCTTGTTCTTGCAGACCTCCAGTAGTCTAACATCTCACCTTGCTACAGTGTTGGACAGGTATACTCTTGAAACCTCATGACATCACTTTTGGATGTGGGTATAGGTGCAACTGAGTTCACCTCTAACCTCTACTCTTTAATGCTTGACAGCAATGCTGCCATCAACTGAAAATATTCAAGTCCAAAAAAGCAACAATCTAATTGCATAAAAAAAAATAGTGAGAACAACATGGCATAATGTTTGATATTACAGGCGACATTATTTTCGAACCTTTGATCAATCTAATAGAGCCTGAATAGTTTTTTGTGATCGGGAGTCTACAAACAGATAAAAACTACTGAAACTGAAGGGGCAAATTTGTTGACGTTAATACATATCAAAATAAAGTTACTTCTAATCTTAAGTCATTGGAAAGAAATATGACAAAGTGGACACAAAGATGCATGCAAAAATAAATAAATACTGAAAACAGAAAAGCTGGAAGACTCTATTGGTCCTTCACACCCACACAGGTGTTTTCAATTCACTGATCAGTTTGATTGTCATGAGGAGCACTACAAAGCCTGTGACAAACAGTTGTATAACGTCCTCTGTGGCTCTGCAGGAACTTTGTCAAGTCTGAATAATAAACCCTGAGGTTGTTTTGAGAGAGTTATCTTGAGCTATCTATTCCAGCTTTATAACAGACAGTCTGCATTATAAAGTGGGGAGTGCCGAGTGTGAAGATCGAAAGACATGAGTGTCTATCAAATCAAATCGGGGGTGGGGGGTGGGTGTTCTCACAAAAACAGACTCTTGAGTTGCATTATGGAAATTGTAGGATTCAGTTTTTATGGAGCATTCTTTTTTTCCCATCTGTTTCTTGCCAATCCCCCAACACATGGAAATGTAATACTAAACCACTGGAGAGTCCCTTTAAGCTCTACTCATTTGACTGTCTGTACAGAGTAACATACCAAAACCAGAAGAACAGCAACAAGGCAGCACATCCACTTTTGATTCAGACCACTTAAATATCATTAGTAGTAAATATTATATAGTATATACAGGTGTCCTGCTTTCCCGCACTATATTCTAACTAGAAAACACAAAGTAACTGCATTCGATCTGGAGGTTTCTGCAGATCTACTGTAAAACAGCAAAACAATGGGTGGATGCAGTTTTTGTTGCTCTCTGAAGGCTTTCTCTGGGTGTCATCTCTAAATGCAACTTGATTTAATGTATGATATAACATGTACTCATCTTCCATAATGCATTAGTTTAAGATAAATCACCCTGCAAAATGATACAACAGGTCAGTGCAGCCTTTACCTATGAAGTAAATGACCTGTGTGACGCCCTGTCCTGTTCAGAGCCAACAGTCTATAACAAGATTCATCATAAGAAGTCACCACAAGTGTGTCACATGATTATAAAAAGTTGTCTTTCAACAATCAAAGCCAACACTGTGAGGGAAGTTTTTGCTTTTTCATCAGCAGTACCTCAAATCTGGCAGCAGCCCAGTCCAGCAAAACTTCTGGAGATGCCATGGGCGATAAAAGGGCAGACAAATCTGTCGAACAGTAAATGACAGGACAGATCTTCAACACATCGCAGCTATGTGATAGGCAAGGAGATGCTGTATGTTTATATAAACATACAGCAAGAGTTAGTATATAGTAAAAGCAACAGAAGTTAGCAAGAAGCAGCATGAGATAGAGTTTGAATGAAAGTGAAAGGACTGTCGTAGTCAAAACCCGGAAAAATGGGGGGGGGGGATTGACTGGAGTGAGTGAGTCAGTCTTCCCTTGCTGAACCTGTGTTTCTGAAGGACACTGAGCATATGGGTGAGGCAGCCTGAGGTGAACAGGTGGCGTCAGAGGGAGGTTCACTGGATGTTATTGTACTATTTATGATGTGGTGCCACTGGCAGTGAAAGAGGAGTTAGGGATCTTAGTGAAAGATACCCATGAAAGAGGCTGATCGGTGACTACAAGGTTTTGAGGAGGTATTGATGTTGATCTGGCACTGGCATCTCAGAGGTTACTCAAGGGGCTTGCTACGTACGGCTGGGAAGGAATGAGCAGATAATGCAAAATTAAAAAAAAACAAACAAAAATCATGAAAAAATAAAAGTATCATTTGAACTAATATTAGGTTGAAGCACAGGCTGACCTACGTTTTCCAAGGCTTACTGACTTAACATTTTCTTCATGAAAATTGCAATTTTCAACAGAAACACACTTTAAATTAGTGAAATTAAAATGACATTATCATAAAGTTTTTTCCCCCTCAGTTGAGGGACAAAGAGGAAAACATGAGTCTTACCTGGAGGTGATAAAGTCAGCTCATCATTAGGGCATGGCGGGTGGCCTTCAGTCTCTGCTGCTGAGGGCTGCACAGCAGGAGGAGGCTGAGACGTCTCCACTGAGGCTTTTGTCAAATTGTTTGCCTCCTTTATCTGCTTATTACAGGCAGCACGTGGGACCTTTGACTTAAGAAGAAATTACATTCTTACTTTTCATTGTAACCAGCAAGGCTAACTTAGAACTAATTTCTTTAACTACTCCAAGCAAAGAGTGAATGTATTTACCTTTGTCTTAACCTTTTGGCAAGATTCTTTACTTTTCTGCTTCTTTGTTTTGGGCACTGAAAAAAATGCATGTTAATAATTCAGTCTGCAGTGAAGGCTTAAGAGCTTTTTCCTCCAAAACCCCTAAAATAAGAAATTTCACAATGTGATATAGAATATGTGAATATAACATGAACAGGTGTTGCAGTATACAAGATTTAACTCCTGACAAAATGACCAAGTAATTCGTAATGATTAATTATGATTTGACAACTATTTCAAAAACACCAAAGAAAATAAATAGGTAAACAGAGAACTCCTAATATAGTATCTACAGTTTTTATTCTAAAATGCTGATTCATTCCCTGGATTCTCTATTCATTAAATATTTACAATCTTTTATATGCAACTCTTGATCATTTAGTTCTCAGTACACCACCACTCACCTGCCACACACAGCCACACCCCACCTGACCAAAACTATGATGACCTCCTTTTACATAATTATGTCATTATCATACATTAGAGGCTTTATACAAAATATTTGAAAAGCATTGCTTTCCTCCATGTTGGAGCAGGTCAACAGTTTCTATGTGCAGAGCAATGACTGTATATGGAAACTTGTTGATGTTTTACTGGCATGGACAGATGATAGAATAGATAAAAACACAGCTACCTGGTTACAGGAAGTCATGTTAGAGGAAAGGGCAGCTTTAGCTCTCCGTGTAAAGCCTCTTAAGAACAGAACAAAACTCAGTGAAACGCGTTAACAAAGAACATGGTTTTGCAATGTAACCACCAGCTTAATTAAACTGTAAGAAATGCCACAAGGAGCTATGGTCCAAAAGGGGCCCAATGCTAGAGCATGCTAAAAAAGAAAATGCTGAAGTGCAACTTAACAGTAACTATAAATCTTATTTTTGCAGACCTTCACTATTTTAACTTTGCACCATGCTGTTCTGTAGAAAAGTGTTCTCCACAATGTGTCAGTACATGGTGATACTGCTACTGGAGGCTGTCAGAGGTGCGACAGAGCACACACTTCTGACTACACCCAGTCACATCCATTCAGTGATGCCAAGTCCAGAGGTGCAACAAACTTGAAAGTTTCAACTAGAGGGGGCAGTAAAACACTGATCCTCAGCCTGATACTAATATACTCTTTAATTTTTGCTATGATTTATCCAATGTCAACAGTTAAATATCACTGATGCAGTATATCAGGCATAAATGGATGTCTACTATGATAAAACAACTGCTCTGTTAAATATTTCACTTCATTAATCTGTCTGTAGAAGAGACATGTGCACCTGTTCCATGTAGACAGATTGTAACTACAATTACTGCCTTGCAGTTGTTGTGTACCTCTGCCAACCAGCCAAGACCAAATATGGTCACAATCTCCCTTACAGTATTGAATAATGACCACAAGTGTTTTTGGAGAATATTATGATGTCTCACTTAATTTGATACTTTTCCTAGATATTTGAGTTAAATTGTATCGTAATTAGTTTATGTATTTGTGAGTTATGGCCAAAAATGTGTTTTGTGAGGTCACTGTGTGCCAGAAGTGATGAAATTCCCTCTGGGCTCTGGGTGAGATCACCGTGACCCTGAACTTTGACCTTTGACCACCAAAATCTAATCAGTTCATCCTTGAGTCCAAGTGAATGTTTGTGCCAAATTTGAAGAAGTTCTGTCAAGGCGTTACTGAGATATCACGTCCATAAGAATGGGACAGACAACAGACAAGCTGAAAACAATTACCCTCTTTCTCTGGCTGTTGCGGAGGAATAAAAAGTGTGTGGAAAATAAACACAAAAAGCAAACACCTGATGAATGTGCAAAAATATAAAACAATTTAATATTTGGTGTGAAACCAGCAGAAACGTAGTAGTAAGGCACCCAGGTGAATCCTGCCCATACCTCATCGTCTATTTTAAAGAGGAAGGAGGGAAGGGGAAAACAAAGGTAGATGAGGGCAGAATGTTGAAGAGAGCAGCTAACCTGTTTCAGAGTCACTGCTCTCAGAAGTGCTAGATTGACTACTACTGCTGCTGCTGTCAGAGCTGGATGACGAGCTGCTGCTGCTGCAGCTGAGGTCAGGAGACGCCATGAATTTAGCTGTTAACAAAAAAAAGACAAATTGTCATTTTTACACTCAGCCTCACTCTTGAAGGGATAACTTTGATGATCACAATTTTAATTTTTTCTTACCTTCTGTCTTTTTTTTCTTAACCAAGTGCTGCTCTTTACTGACAACCCCAGATCTTCCAGCATCCTTTAGTTTCCCAGTCTGGATTCCTTCTGTGGGCTTCATCAGCTTTTTTTCTGCAGGACAGAAGAGATAATAAATTAATTAACTAAAATAAATTACAAAAGCCTTAATCTTACCAATTCAAATTAACAGTAATGCTGTATTTGCTGACAGTGGAAAGTTCAAGCAAAGCAGGACTGACTTGTACTTACGGCATTTCCTCAGACATGTTGCAACAAACCTCTGAAGGGCTCTCAGTGTGGAAGGCTTGAGCATTTCAAAGTCAATCTCAATGTCCTCTAGAGTGGAATCTCGCAGGCAAGACTCCCTGGCATGAATGATGTTCACCAGCTTGCCCAGTTTGTCACCGGGAAGCTTGTCAATGTCCAATTTCAACTGCTTCTTCTCCTGGTAAGTCATTGGTGTTGATGGGACCTCATCCTCACATTTTATGGGTGTTCTCTGAATATTGTGTTTGTTGCCAGGCCTAGATATACAAAGAAAACATCTAATATTAGCCACAGCGCATATTGGAGCAAACTCAGTTCACCATTACTTATACTAAGTATATAACGTGAAACATATTAAATGATCACTCACAAAGAAGAGCTCTTGCTGTTGGCGATTTTTTCTACAATAGATTGGTATTTTGAGGATTTGTGCTTTAGTCGAGCAATATCTTTTTCTTTAGATCTTTTTTCCTTTTTCAACTTTTCAACTCCTTTTTTCTTTGGTTTCATCAGGGGGTCTTGGCTAAGTCTCTTCAGCTGATCACTGACAGCTTTCAACTGAAAAGTGAGCAGTTAATGAGACAATTAGGTGAAATGCACTGAAGTGAATAACATTTCAAATGCCATTTGCGCCATTACTGGCATGTATGATACCTACCCGCTCCTCTAGGTTGGCCAGCTGCATGGCCACTTCTTCGGATGAACTTTCTGACTCTGAGGAACTTTCACTTTCAGAACTTGCTGAGGTTGACAAACTCCCAACTCTGTCTCCTTTTCCCTTCATAATTCTCTGACGAGGTATGGAACCACCCTCTGGTTCTTGGGGAATCTTGAGATAACGAGCCTCGAAAATTTCCTGTTGATACAAACACAGACTCCTTAAAACCTTCAAGTACTGTCCGTCTGATTTAGTAGAGCAGTAAATAAATAAATAGATAGTTCTATACCTGGAGCTTTCTCGCCATGTAGACCACCTCATGTGAAGGTGGATTGTATTTGTAACAGTTGGAGAACATCAGTCGCACATCAGCAGCAAATTCCTTTGCATTTGCATACTGACGTTGATCCATTTTTTTCTGAGGAAATAACACTTTGTATCAGGAAAACTGATTTGACCGATACTGAAAACAATGTTAAATACTCAGATTAAGCTTCATCATAATCGTTTTACCCTGATGGTGCTCAGGTCCATAGGCTGCTTGATGATGTCATGGTAGTCGTGCAAGCCCAAAGCAACCGCATCAACAGGGGTATAAAAGGGCCATGCATATGCATAGTGCCTCTTTGAGAGCATCTCCTTCAGGATGTCACTGCAGTACCTGAGCTGCTCAGACAGTCTGCCCTTCTTTCCCTCAAACGCAGGCAAGTCTTTCTTAGGAGGTTTAATGGGCCGGCCACAGCCTCTTCTGGAGGATAAAGTACAAGGTGCTGAATGGTCCTCAGCAGGGGACGCCTCAATGGGGGGGAACTCTGAGGTGGTGGAGGGTGTGGGGTTGGCTTTCCTCTTAAAACCTTTTTTAATCTGAATATTTAGGAAAAGGTTGAGCATAAACAATAAATCACTACAATAGTTAGACAAAGCAGAGAATTTGGATTGTGATTTCACATTATTGGCCACAATGCTATAAATAATTCAAGTTTGTGAGACGCTATAGCTTTCACTTACTTCATCCAATGGAGAAAGTCTGTCTAACATGGTGACGCATTTATTGTAGAGCGGTTTGGACGGAGTGTGACGTTTTTGGTCCAACCACCACAGAATGAGCTATAACTAATGCGACTCAAGTGTAAAAACATTTATTTTACCTTTTAATAAAAATGGAAAAATGTAATTTATGACTAAACAAAATAAAACTAGATTTTCCTGTCAACATGTTGATTTCTTTTCTTACAGAAAGACAAGCATCAGAACACAGTCACAAACTTTATGATCCCCAATCATAGCATCAATTTAGCCAAAACAAAACACAACCGCTTTTGTGAACTTTTTCACATTCAAATACTTACTGTTGCATCAAATTGTGCAGAGAGCTGTAAGGGTGGGATGAACTGCGGCACAGCGGGAGGGATGACGGTCACTGTCTGTTGGAGAACAACTTCTGACACAAGGGATCTCTGCTTTAATGCACCTGCATGACAAAAGGTACACGTGCACGTCAACACAATTTTAGATGGTAAATAAATCAGCGCAATTAGTGTTCGGAAAACGTTACTGCAAAGATTTTTGTTCTAACATAGCAGTGTTTGTGGGTGTTTGCAATATTCTTCTCTTATTTACACCCCAAAAAATTCCCCAAAAATAAATATGTACCACATCTCAAGGGACTGTTACTGTGCAATATACCTGCATTCGTCTTTCTCACTTTCACTGGTTCTGTTGTAGTGACTGCTGTAACTTCCAACTCTTCCTTAGGCATCTGGGACACCTTCTGCAAAAAAAGCTTCTCCAGACTCTGTGCCATAAAAACAATGTCATCTCCAGGCTGTGAAGAAAAGAAAACATATATATTGTAATAAAGTAAAAGCATTTAGCGCACCATGTACACTTATGACAATCCTGTCTGAACTGCCTTAATACTTGAAAAGAATCTTCAGCACTGCGACAGCCGAAAATAAAATGAAAATAATAATCTGGCATGCTGGGTGGGTGAGTGTGAACTACCTGATTTGCATTATGACAGAACAGTAATAGGGATCAGTGGACATTATTTCAGTTTAGAGATCTATTTTCACATTACAAAAGTACCTCACAGCTAATTCACTATATGTCTATTATTATTGAAATGCACTTTATAGTTCATGTTGGTGTGTTATACAGCACAACAGTATTCTCTTACCCGGTTGTACATGTAGCAGTTGGTAAACATGCTGTTGAAGTCTTGTATACACTCAAGCGATTGGCAGTAATATTTGTTCTGAAGACGCTTCTTAATAGTGCCCAGATCCATAGGATTTGTAACAATTGAATAATAGTCCTGAAAGGCAACAAAGACACTCGCGTTAACGTCTTCCCTTCCCAGATTGCATTTAATTGAACTTATCCACCAAGACAAATTGGTTACTGTAGTTTAACTGACACCCAGACAGAAAACCGTTGATTAAAAACCTCATCATAACATTTACAGTCAGACTGTAACACTCCACTTAAATGTCAATGAGATTCTTACAACTTACTGGGAGACGCAGTGCTACTGCATCAACAGGCTGGCGAAAGGGCCAAGAAAAGTGATGCCTCCATAAAGCTTTGATTACCACCTTCTCGAGATACTGTAGTTGATTGGTTACGCGTCCAGGCTTTTTGGGATTTAAGACTTCTGGTGGAGGAGGATTTCCACTCACATTGGGACAGGCTTTCACATCAGACATTGTGTCGTCCAAAGGCCAAGAACGAGGAAACTGTCTGAAGTATGCTTTGCTGCAACTTAGCGCTCATCACACGCTTTCCTAAACAAGGAGTGAAGAGTAGTTTCCAGTAAGAACATAAATGAGACATGGCATTGTGAAAAAACAGTGAAAGTCAGTCTCATCTTAATACTATATCAGTACTAAAACTTATACTGCCTTTACGTCTCTAACGTCCTTAAGACTATGAACCAGCATTTATGCTTAATGTAACTGCTTTGGTAAGAACATTCAAATTCAGTTCAACCTTAAACACAGCATGTATTGACAACGTGAAGATTTAAAAGGATACGTCTGAAGATATTTCATACTTACTTACTGTCAATAAATCCTTGAAAAGATCGAAACCAACAAATAATTCATCCTACCAACAAGTATTGTCTGTGTCACTTCAAATATGATTTAATCCATGACTGAAAGTAGTCCCCAACAAATGTACTACTTATCCATTTCAGAAAAGTTTGCTAAAAAAAAAAAAAAAGTCGCAGACTCACAACCAATTTTAGAAAATAACCTAATTATTCGAAACTTGTTACTCATTTCTTTCAGATTTTCAGTAGCAGCCTAGTGGATTAGGGTTGAATACCACAGACAGAGTAGGGAGCTCAGAAAATATTGTTGGTTTTTGTCTTTTCATTGGATTTGTTGGCAAGACAATTATTGAATAACCTTCTTTCTACTTTAATACAGAATTATATGAAAGGCTCAAATTAACAAGGCAAGCTACTATTCTACTGTTTTATGCAGGTGGGATGTGATCACCTGCTCATGAATCCTATACTATTATGCCCCAAATACCTACTGACAGGTTTAAATCTACTTGGAACAAATCATATGGAAAGGGGAAAACATGTCCAATGCCACTACTCATCTCTATCTCCCCGACATGGTGAGAAAATAACTTGTTGACTATAATGGTCAATATTGCTTACAATGACATATTCAAAATGCCACTTAAATGGTAAGCAACACTCTCAAGAATACAATGGACGCACAAGAGAGGTATCTTTCCAAAACATGGGTAATACTGCCACCTACAGCATATCTCCAGTCAGCATTTTAGCTAAGCAACATACAGACATACACATTTCCAACACTTTCAGTATTGGAAAAGGTAAAGTACTAAAACAATATAGGAGATATATCATGCTACGCAGTATGTCCTGCAAACACTGCCTACAGTCACAGTTGCAATAGAAAACACGTATCATTTAGAAAGACGTTTATATAAGTAAACTCCTGCTTTCTACAAATTGAAGTTGGCTGTTCAATGAATTAATAAAGCTGATTAAATAGACCAAATGTTTATTCTTATGTGCTTTGAAAAAGCAGTTTAACTACATATAGAAGGTTAATAAGCCAAACAGCTAAGCAGATTCAAAAAAGGAGAGCTATACAACCTGCCTCGATCTGCAGTCAAAATGTTTGCCTGTCACACCAATTGTTTTCATTTGTAACCCAACCCAAATAATTTACATTGCAAGTTCTGTTTATCTTAGTTGCATTTTATTTTATGTTTTTAAATACGACAAATGAACACAACACTTTCAGACATTAATAAATCCAGTGAAGTCCAGCGCATCTTATTTTGACCCTTTTATGGGAGGGGGGAGATGTCTGGCATGGTGAATTTCAAGCAGCATAAGACCCACACTTATGTGACTGAATGATGAGCTCCTTATAGTCCACTATCACTTGGTGATGAGTTTATCATTCAGTTGCAAAATTGGGGGTCATATTTGACATTCAATTTTTTTTATACAAAAAGTATTAATCTAACAAAAGAATACTCATGTTCCAAATTCCTTGCCAGATTCTGGTCTGGCAAGGAATTTACTATTGTTTGGGGAACTACTAACAATAATGGTGACGTGCATAGATTAAATGATGAAGGAGTTAATTGAACACCTAATAAATACATAATGAAAATAATAACTTTGAGCAGACTTTAATACGTGACAAAGTTAAGATTGATCACGATCTTATTGTAAAAGCATGGTATGTGAGGGGGATTATAGAGTGTTTTCTGTCTGACAAACAACTATCTAGAGATAGATCCGGATCCAATTATCCTAAGATCACTATAAAACTCTTACTGTCCAATATTAAAAAGTCATAGTAGTAGCCAACGTCATCATCATAGTAGTAAAAAAAAAAACGCTGTTCAACTCCATTTCCAGGCAAAGAATCAAAATGTTTCAACCATACAAAGATGGTGTAACTGCAAAAATACACTATTCAGGCAGCCTCAAGAAAAACAGCCTGATGGGTTAAGGTCAACTGTTTTGGCACACAGTAAGATGGTGACCACAAAATATTTGTGGCTTTGGCAGACTCTGGACAATATAAAATACCCTTTGGTAGACAAAAAGTTTTGTGATGAAAAAATTAATCAGGGATGCTGTAAATGTGGAAAGCTTCCGCACACTCAGATCAGTGACTTCATCACAGATATTAGAGACATGAAAATGAGCACTGTGGGCAGTGTACAAGGCAAAGATAGTGGAAAGATTGGCATATCTGCCATTAAGTATGCCATTCATTCTACAATTATGAAAACTCCTGTGACAGCTGCCATGAAGCCAACCAACAGAATACATTCTGTTTGTTCTGCATTCTGTTGTCAATATAACAAGCATTTTACAAACCCTGGCCCTGCATGTCCATTCCTGATCTTGAATAACGTTTAAATTGCAATCGAGGATGAAGACGCGTCAGAAGAAAAACTAATGTATAAGGCTGTTTTTAAAAACGTACATAGCGTCCCATCAACTATTTAACACTCACAATAACAGCTATTTCTGCAAACACACAGCTGCCTGACATCGTGTTACTGGTTGCATTTAGTATTGTACAGATTTAGGTCAGTCATACCTCTAGTAACGTAAACATGCCATGTAGAAGCGATCTGTCACTTTAACTCCCTAGTGTTGTAATGCTGTACCGCACATTAAAAAAACGCCAATTTATGATACCAGTATTTTAAACATTTAGCTGGCAATCTAAACGTTTGTGAAAACCTGACACGCGTACTGAAAGATGGGCTGAGCTATTTAGAGATCGATTTAACAACCAATTTATGGATTTATCTCATAATTTTTTAAAGGTTGCGTAGTGTTTTGTACCGCACACATGGCTGCATGGTGCACTGTTGACAGTGCTCGAGCCAACACGTGAAGCCACCACCACGCCCACTGGTTATTTAGCATGTGCACTGCTGAGAGCATAACTGTACAATGAAAAATGAGAGGATCGAGAGGGCGATGAAGCTTGTTGTCAGAGCTTCGCTTTCCAATTTTCTGTTGCTTCGACGAAACGTGTAACTGACGCAGCGGCAATTTAGCCTACGCAGTAACGTTAGCTAACATCTGCTACTGCAACTTTAAAAAATGCTAACATGGCGAGGCGCCTTATCCTTAGCCTGCTTGCTAGCTACCTAGCGGTCGGTACTCAATAACTAATGATAGTTTCCCCCCTAACGCCATCTGTAAAGTTTTGTTTTATCTACCGCGACAAGGCCGAAAGATCTTGTCAGATGCATTTTTCAACCACTTCGCGCAAGCATCTAATGTTAGCATAGCTAACACAGCTAACGCTACATACTGGCTGGCTGTTGAGAAGTGGTTGCGCTACACGTAAACGTTATAGGCTCCCAAGCTATGTTAGCTTTCGCAAATGTTTGATTCATTAGCTAGTAGAAACATCAGCCATCTTATTAGAATGTCACCTTTGGCAAACATGGCAATTTGGCAAGCATTACCGTGCTATCATTACCTTCCAAGATATCACGGGCTCTTGCGTTCAACTCTTCAGTAGCAGACGTCTCTACGGCAACCGCCTCAAATTTATACCCCTCAGCTCGAGGCTCTAGAACTGATTGGTCAAAACACCACTTACACGTGCTACAGTTCGCTTTTCTGCAGAGAAAGGCGCTGGAAACAATTTATTTCATGTAAGAAATGTAACCCACTTTGTCTCCTGTAAATGTGCAGCTAACTGTGGCTTTTCAGAGTTAGGTAAAGATTTTTGTGAAGTTCTTCCAAACAAAATGGTGGCTCTATGTCACGGAAGGATCCTGGAGCATTATCAATCGATGCGAATACTGACTGACACGTGCAACGTTAAGAGTCCTGCTGTTAATAAAGTCACTCGTCTGAATGTCCGCCTGTTAGTGAAGCTCTAGCAGCTTACAGGCAGTGGCTCTGTGCTGCTAACGCAGGCGGTAATGTGTCTGTGAAGCAAGAGGAAGGGAAAACTGGAATCTGGGCGGAGTGGTGATTTCAGGTGCTGACCCAGAAGCGGAAAACTTGGGTTCATTGACCACATAAAAGCTACCAACCCCACTCCACTAGAAATAAATACAATATTTACTATGTGGTACAATACCATGATTATGTGCCTCTTTCGCAGGATGTAGAAAACTACACGTTGTTAACAATAACAAGACGTGTGTGATATTTCCCTTGTTTCTAAGTTCACTGTTTTGCAGAGTCGACGTTTTTCGGGGACCTGCAAATTCAAAAATACGAAATGAAGGACAAAATTCACCAAACTGTAGAATATCAAATGTTGGAATAAGAGTTTTTCTTAGTATAGAACGAAGAGAGTTCCTAGTATTAAAATTGGGGAATAGAGTTTGGACTTTACCAGGTGACCGCGAACTAGACATAACTTTACTTCCTGTGAACTGGAAATTCAGAACAACTCAGCCATGTGTTAGTATCTGAGCCAAATTTGGTTTGAAGTTGGATTAGTTGTATTGTGTTCACGATTGACCACAACGTGAATACAATATTTTGATAAAATAACAGTCTAAAAATGTCAATTAGCATGGACTAGCAACATTACTAGCATCAATAGTGAAATCAATTCAAGTGTAGGCTATTTGTATACTGTGCAATATCACAAAAGTTTCAATGTGTTCACAAGGCATACCAGAGATATTTCAGCTCACTGAAAATCATTGCTAATTATTAATTCTGGAATCAGGATCTCAATTAAGGTCTATTACTGTTTTATTCACAAACATAAATGTCTTCCCTGAATGCTGTGGGCAGTGGGCTGAATTTACTAATTATGAAATGGGCCCTACTTGTCTCATGCTGTCTATATGCAAGCATTAGTGAACCAACTATAGGCCTAATAAAAAAGAAGCACTGATGAGCACAAATTGAACTCCTCAGTTAATAAATTAATAAATGCTAGAGTCATTTTTATCATAATTTCTTATTTGGTTTCTTGGACCTTGAAGCTTTGATGCAAATTAAAACTGAGTATATAATTTATAATTATGTGCCTGCATATATAAAGCATATATTAGTATGCTGCATATTTATTCGACTTATTCATCTTCTGTGTCAAAATTTCGGCACGTAACTAGTCCCGCAGCTTTGAGAAACCTCAGACAATATACAGTATATATATCAATATATAAGGAATGGTGTGCTATGACTTTTCTTTGGAGTAACCATGGCAACATCATACGTTTTATGTAATTTTTAGACAACTTCAGATTTTATAATGGGTGTGTATTACACAGAATGTTCAGAGCTAGAGTTGATGACATCACATGCACGCTAACTGCCATCCCTGAAAGGATTCCTAAAAGAAAAATCAGACAAACTCTTTAAAATATATGATATTGATAACAATTATAATGCTACCAATGATATATCATAATAATTGTAATAAATGATGTACATGTATGTTACGTATGTAACGGCAATGTACGTGTGCACTTATATAGACCCCTCATTAGCATTAGCATTAGCAGCTAGCTTGCTGGCATTGCTTATTGATAAATGATCAATGATGTCATTATAAGATTGCAAAATAACAAGTGGGGGGCGGGCTAGCTTGCTAGCATTAGCATTATCAGCTAGCTTGCTGGCATTTTTCATTGATGTATGAATTTAACACTTCCATAAACATTTGAAACCTTTCTCTGTCTCTCTCTCTCTTCAGGTGACAAAGAAGCTTGCTGGTGCAGCTTCTGAAATAGTTGCCTGGGTTACCAATGTTGGTATGTTGGCTTTCCAGGATGGCGGCCAGATTGATGATGCCGAATCTTTGAGGTGGACCCCCGGAGGCACCTGCCATCTCATTGAGGCATAGCAGTCCCAGCTGGAGGGGAAGCACAGGATGCTCGGCCTGACTGTTGCCAAGGCGATACAGAGGATCTCCTGAGGATCTCCTGGGAATCTCCTGGGATGAGTGGAGGCTCCACTGGTGCAATGATCCTGCCAGTCCTCAGCACAGCTGTTGCTTACCTTTTCCCCTAGCTGGGTCATAACCTAAAGACTGCCCACATACCATCATGGCTGCAGTGAACTGAAACCTGGCTCTGTGAACAGTCTGCCATGAGTAAGTAAATTTCCCAGGCTACAATTATGCCCAGTACTGGACCTAAGTCCCACATCATCTGAGGTTTTACTTTCCCAGCAAAGTGGTTCCACAAAGGGTTTATATCTTGATGCTTCACGTGAACAGTGAGAAATCTACTGGCCTGAATGCAAAATACAAATTTTGCATATCACAAATTGAATGCAAGAATAAGGAAAAGCATGACTGTATTTTATATTCTAAGCATAGATTTATATACTGTCAAAGCAAATCGAAATATGTTTTGTATGCATCAAATGTGTCAATATCAGTAAAGTTAAGCTCAATGTCTTCGTTTTAACTTAAGTGTCAAAACTAAGTTTGCAATGTGGGCAAAAAACAAAGCTTTACTTTTAAATGTCAGCTTTGGTGGTTATGCTGTAAAGGTGCAATATAAGATCTGGCCAGAACTTTAGTTTAAAATGTTCAAATAATGAATTAACACTATCAACAATGTGTGAAGGAGCCACTGTCATGATCAAGACCTCCATCTGTTGTATTTCAGAGTTATCTACTGAAATGAGCATGCTCACCAGCCAGCCCCGACCTGTCCTGTGTTGTTATACCACTTTGTGACACTAGACGCTGTGTGAGTCAGTGGAGCGTCAAGTCTGCTCTCAGTCCCACGAAGAAGAACAACTTCCTGCAGAGCTTGAAGTTATCGTCACAGAAACACAGAAATGGCTGAATCTCCTGAAAGGCAATATTCATCTGCATCCCGAAAGACCGCTCCTGACAAGAAACCACGTTCAATGGCAAAGAAAAGAAGCAACACGAGTAAATCTCGATGTGGCTTTCCACCGCTGGAGACAGCTCCTGAGATTAAGATGCGGTTTGATGCCGAACTCGCAACTTTCCTGTTAGCCCGGTGAGTAGCATCCATGTTAGCTCTTTAGCTAAAAGTATAATCAGTGCAACGACTGACAAACCGTACCGACAAACATTTCAGGTGGTGATATTGATACTGTTCCTAGAATTGTGCCCGTTCCTCTCGGCTGTTGTACAGCTAGTTACGTCAGTAACTTTGGGCTCATTTTGTAAGTGACTGACTGTGAATTGAGATTGTATGGACCCAGTAGACCGAGTGAATACACATCGATCACTTTACATTACTGTTAGAAGATCAGCCATGATTGAAAGTGCACTAGGTCTCAGGAGATTTCAGCATACCTCTGTCTGTATCAGGACCTGAGCCAGTACAGATGCAATACCGCCTCCACCTGTCTCACCAACGGTACAGACACAGCGAGGAGGGACTAGGTGAGTAACATGCTATCATTCACTTTTAAAAGTAAGACTTGTCTAAACCACTGTGATTAAATCAGACCCACAGTATATACATGTTCATAGTAGGAACTACTCAATAAGAACTCTGCTTAATGACTTTACTGCCCAAAGCTATACAACTCTAAAAACAACCACAATATGATGATGGATTTCACTCTAGTTTACAATGCAGGTCTGATGTAATGTGTTGCAATAACCGTTAATAATGTACTGCGAACAAGTTTTGCACGTGTAAAAAGAAAAACAAGACTTTGTGAATAAAACCGAACAAATGACCAGTGGAGAGGTAACGCAGAGACACTGACAAAGTGCTTTGTGTAAAACTTTGTGCTTTGAGTCATATTTACAGCTGAATCTAACTGGACAATGACTGTCCAATCAGAGGGCAGGTGGTTTTGTTGCCTTTATATCCTGAAAGGTGTAGTAGATTTTCAAGCCTGTGCCGTCGTCCACCTTGAAAATCTACTAAAATAAAAGCAGTTTGTATTTTGTGTAATTGCATTTCCACACAGATTGTAGTTAAATGTTTAAGATGAGTTGAAATGATATTCTGTTTATTACATTTAAGTCGTCATCATCGAAAGATCAGAAAACAACATGGATGTGATTATTAATATATTTGGCTTGAATATTACAATTAAAATACTTGTTTGGAAACTTTCTGTGTCTGATTTGTTGTTAAGGAACTTATTGTGATAGAGTAATGAAGAACTACTCTGTAACAACTACCAGTTAAACTACAAATAAAATTTTGCGTATGTGAAACAATTGCGCTTGTGTTGAAGAGATTTGTATTTGTTGCACTAAATTCTCACACAAATATTAATATTTGAAACCTTTCTGTCTCTCTCTCCCTCCAGGTGACAAAGACGTGCACTGGTGCTGCTTGTGAAACGGCTGCCTGGGTTACCAGTGTTGGTATGTTGGCTTTCCAGGATGGTGGCCGGATTGACGACACCGCATCTTCGAGGTGGACCCCCGGAGGTGAGGCATAGCGGTCCTAGCTGGAGGGTAAGCACAGGATGCTTGGCCTGACTGTTGCCAAGGTGATCCTGAGGAGTGGAGGCTCCACTGTTGGAGGAGGACACATGAGGCAGAGGAGACGGCCCTCCTCATCCAGGATCTCCACTTCACCCTGGACGTCCCTTTGCTGGATTCTCTCCGCATCCAGGACATATGGAGACACAGAGGCGCCACCTCAGCTGCACTCAGGACCCACCAGGTGTGCAGCTGTACACAGAGACTGGTAGTCTGACAAAGGGTGGGCTCAGCCTTCTGGTTTCCACCTTAACCAGTTTATCCCAGGTACATGCGTGTGTCTCGTAGCTTGTGATTAATTAGATTGTGTATTATCATTTAATGCAAACAAAAAAGGAGTGAAGTGCACACAACAAAGCAGCAGGCACATTAAAAATTTCTCCAGGAATTTTCTAGTGTAATACATAATTCAACTAGTGCTCCCTAAAATACAAATTCTGTATTGTTCAATTTACTTTCATATCAAAATTACCATCTTTAATTAGAAATATAAGGGAATGGTGCTAAAAGGCTTTCAAGCTGTAGGACATGATTGTTTCACATGTTTTTCTGTAATCACAGTCAAAACATTAATAAATCAAAGTTGCTTGGAAAACACTGCACTTTTAAGATACCTAATATTTTAACTCATAAATCAAATGATTGTAAACTTATACCTTCTTAATAATTTACACTTTTTGACCACAAGATGGAGCCATGGGCAAAAATGTAATTTATACTGTTCAACTGAAGAGATTCGATGGCAGAAGCTTGAGGGAAGTTGTGGTTTGTGTTTTTGATAACCAGAAGTAATTGACTGAACTATCTGGAGATTTATATGGGCAGGAAAAAGAAGTCATTGTGATGTGACATGTTATTGAACTCCTGAAACCAAACACAAGAAGTTGCGTAGCAGCTGTACATCTTTGAATGCTTAAAGGAAAATGAATGAATTTAATAGCAGACAAAAGATTTTTGAAGAAAATGTGTATAGCCTGTAATTTATGGTTAACAGGTTTATGGTTGACATTATTGCAATCTACAAATCATTCAATGTTTCAGCAAGAACCCCTGAAAATCCCACAGTTCACTGCCAACTATATTTAGAGTCATACTGTAAGAAAGCAGTAAAATAATTATGCAAATTAGGAGTTGGAGAGCAGAAATTATAAATTCGAGGAGATGAGGCTCAAGTACAACATGACAGTGTACAAAGGAGGAAGTATACAAAAGGCAAATTCCAGGGAGGTTTAGAAAGGGAAAGGAACGGGCGGTTAGTCAGGTTGTCAGATGTCCTAAATGAGTTTTGAATCAGACCATAAATACTGACACAGTGTCTGTTCCCCTGACAATGGCAGGAAGCTTGTTCAGAAGGGAGGAGGTCATAGAGGAAAAGGCTCTGCCCCCTGATGTTTCAAATGTGAGGAGTAACAAGGAGTATTTGTTTTTGAATGAGTAAATATAAACTCCTGAAAACAAGGGCACTAGCAAAGTTGACATATACTACTTCTTCTATTTAGTGGTGGAATGTAACTAAGCACATTTACACCGGTGCTATACTTACACTTTGAGTGTGCCGATTATATGTTACCATATGTATCCACTTTACTACATTTTCAGAGGTACATTTTGTACTTTTTACTCCATTATGTTCAACAGCTCTCGTTACTTGTTACTTTTCAGATTAAGATTTTACATATAAAATCTACAATGATCTTATGAAATGACATTAAAAAGTCCAACAGTAAATAAAGTAGGTAGAAATACTTCCACCTTGAACAGCTACGTAACACATCAGTCATATTTAGTCTGTTAATTGAATATATGAAAACACAAAAATTAGCAACTAGGACCAGTTACTTCCATACTGGTAGGTACATGTTTCTGCTAATATGTCTTTACATCTACTTTTGAATGCAGAACATTTCTACATTGTGATAATACTACTTAATGTGACATATCTGAACACTGAACAGCTCCTGCTCCTACAATACTACTAATAATAATGTGTACACTTTAATCGTCTGAATTCTATAATGAAGAAGATGGAATAAGAAATGTGCAAAGTAGGTTTATCTGTCTGAGGATAACCTTGATCTAAATCATCCATAAGAGGGCAACAGAAACCACATATTTGTGTTTAGCAAATGATTACATTGCACTGGGCGTGGGTTGTTTGGGATGGATATCTTCCAATTTTACTATTCAGTTTACTGGAAGCATAAAATGCTGAATTGTGAATTCACTACTACTCTCACTGTACAGTGCACATGAAGGCACTTGAAAGCCTAAATTTGTGTGTACATACATTGAAAGCAGGTAGGATAAGCGCTGACGGACAGGTCTGACTATTAAAAATGTACTTTCAAAATTGACTATTTTTATTGAAAGCTGCAATAAACAGGGGCAACATACTTGATGCACACAGGAATCTGTTATTAACCACCTACTAGGTTTATGTGTAATGTGCCCCATATGTTGTTAGTAACAGATGGGGAGTCTGATAGCTAAGGTTGTTTGGAGTGGTCCAGTGGCATGTGGTTTGGTTTTTTTAAATTAAGTAAAAGGAAAGCCCACATTTAGATAGGATTCAGATGTGTTTCTGCAATGATTTAGGGCATAAAACTCAGTATTACAAAAAAAAGAACACTGTACAACAATGAAAATCATCTTGTCTTTCCTGCTACTGGTAGGTATTTTGAAGTCAAAGTGAGAACATGTGAGAAACTGTCCTAGGTCCATTTACAGTCATGGCTGTGGTACCAAGAGCCAGCTGGAATAAAGTTTTAACATTGGGTTTGCCTTTTTTTTGTGGCCTTCATGCGATTGTGAAAGTATGAGGCAGCGGATCCCTCGTTGTTCCGTCCATCTGATAACTCCCTGCAACTCAAGTCAGCAGCAGTCCAAAAACAATCCCTGCCCAAATCAAATATTTAGAGTGTCCCAAAGACATTACTCGAAAAGAGACAAAGCAAAGGGGGAATCCCACTGCGATGAGAAGTTCTTCTTTTCAAGACCACTGCAACCTGGATATAGATGATACATTGATTCATTTATCTGTGAAAGTTTCATACCACTAAAAGAGAAGAGTACACAAAAACAAATAAAGAATATATACTTACTCAATGCATGACCTCTAAGTAAATGCAGTGACACATAACCTTTACAGAAAACAACAGAGATAAAAACATTCTTGCAAAAATGACACTTATATAAGACAAATTTGTCTAAAAATGCAGCATCTTTATTGTCTCTGAAACAATCTAATACTGAGATCATTTATACAGTAACACTTGGTGGCGTTTGCACTGACAGTAGCATGCTATCTCTGACAGAGCATGGTTGGATTTGACAACTAGTGCAATCAACTGGGTCAATACAAACCCAAGGACTCGAGTTATAATGCAATGTGACGATGCTTCAGATTGCAGGTATTTTTGATGCACTGTTACGCTTTCTATTCCCCTTCATCTCAGCTGTATTCACAACCCTAACACAGTGTAAATAAACAAAGTGGAACTCTTTATTGGAGACATGCATATGTATGAGATGTAAAATAATTTGATCCCTTTGAGCGTTTCCTTGTCAACTCTCAAAAGCAGCACATCAGTGTGTTTTTGTGTGTTTTCCACAACAAAAGTTTCCTTCCCTCTTTTCACAGGTGCCATCTCATTAGTGGTAAATCACGATGTTGACATTTATGTTGTACCCAGTCACACAGCATCTCCTTTGCACTGGAAGTCTGATATCACAGCAAAGCAATGCAGTGTTTGTTCAGGAGGGTACGAGAAATTTCACACACAGAAATCATTCTGCGTGCAGTTTAGTGCTTGTGATTTGGGGGCTGTGGGGTGCTGAAATGAAAGGATGTGACAAAAATGTCTTCTGAAAGCTGTAAAAAATATTTTACATCCTAATGTTGGAAGCCAACTAAGATTTAAATGTGGGAATGGCTGAGAAGCCAAATATATAATTGATGTGTATCGTGATTACTTTTCTAACATCTGGTCTTGTGAGATTATGATGACAATAAAGAGCTTAAAATGAAAAACAAGTTACTCCCAACTCTTCCTCTTCCTGAAATCAGAATGTATAGTATTATACTGATAGTGATTATGGTAAATCATTGTCTTTGGTGTCTTGTTGTTCCCTGGAACCTTGCAGTAGTAAAATACTGTATGAAGGTCCATACTGTGTCATTAGAAATCACAACAGTGGCATGTGTGTCACCATCATATACACTTCCTCTCATCTCCTCTCTCCTCTCTTCTAATATGACTGTCCCTGTTTTAGCTCCTGTGAAGATTTGGTGACTTCTTCCCTGCCTTTGACCACTGTATATTGAGATAAGATATCCCATTACCGCAACAAAAAACAACCACATAAGGAAAAGTGAACAATTATTCCATAAACAAACAAATACATATTGTATGTTAATGAATTATTAATTAATACACACATAAATATATGTGTATTAATAATATTAATGTATTAATAATTAAATGAAAAGGGCAAAACAGGTTTTTACTGTCATCTTCGTGGATTTTCCACAGCAACAGATCAGTTTAATGTTATTAGCAATAGGTTTGGCCTATTTCAATAATTAAACATAATAACTGTCTGGTTTAACATACTTGCTTCCCATTAGTATTTAATCTCAGCCTCTCCACTGGTCTACATAAAGATGTTGCTGGGAAACCAAAAGGTTGCACATGGCTGAAATGGTGCAATGCAAACCAGTCTGCAGTAAGCACAGCTGGCTGTTATGGTAATGCCAAAGATGTGTGTATTGACTGTGTAAGATTTTGGTAGCAGGCTCTGCTTGGCTCACAGCAATGACAACCTGAGTTCAAATCCACCAGGCTGCTGTTCTCGTTTCCTCCCACGTTCCAGAGACATGTAGGTTAGGACATGTAGAAATGGAGGCTATAAATTTCCTGCAGATTAACATGGGTGTGGATTTTTGTTGTCTGTTTGTAAGGTCCCTGTGATAGACTGGTTGTCCTGCCTATCATCCATTGCTTGCTGGAACATACTCCAACCTAGAACTGTCAGGTTTCAGCCCTGCAGCCCTCTGTTTTTACATTAACTGTCCTTAAGCAAGCCATTGATTTCTCCCTTTTCACACATAACACAGTTAGTCAGTTAAGTGGTGAAAAAAAGTTATCAGATAATAAATAATACTACAGTCACATTTACATTGTATGTGAAACTCTTGCATTCCAAATTTAAGCAAAAGTAGTAGAAGCCTACTCTTTTATGCAATATACTCACTTTAAGATTGTTTACTGTAAACTTATTACCTTACCTATTATGCATTAATGTGTACAGCTAATTGTTCTATCTGGTTGATGCATTTGAATAACTTTATATACTGTACATATTGTTTAAATACTGTACTTTAAAGCATAACAATGCATCATATTTTATAAAGTAATGGGTTTTGTAATGTCTGAATCTACAAAGTATTTGGTAACAACACCTGTTAAATAAGAGTAAAACGTTCAATAAGCATAAAGGAACATTGTCTTCAAGTCAAATAAAAAACGCCTCAAACAGCAGTAGGTGCGGCATTTAAGTGAGCTATGATTAGTAACAAGACCCTAACTAACTTAGCCAGACATTTCAATAATCTGGCATCCTGGATCCCCATATAGATAGGGACCACTCCATGGACCCTCATGTGATAAGGCTGGCTTGTAGTAACCTGATACAATACTAATAAGAATTGCACACCTGGCTGCGCTGTTAATGGTGACTGAGCGCTGACGCATTTCAATTCCAAGATTTGAACTAAAATCTATAAGAAAAGCCAAGTGCGTCAAGGAGCTCCTGACCCTGCAGCAGGGACCCCACTTTGGGAAGCTCTGCAACGGTCCCATCTCTCGCGCGGCTCAGCCTCCTTCCTCGAAGCCCCGCCCCTAGATGAAGCTCTTAGTAAGAGGGGAGATAGATAGTAGTGAACTGTTAAAAACTTTGAGAGAGGGGCTGTTTATCTACACTTTGGTGAACTGTCACGTCAGCTTCGTCCACAACTGTTTCTTTTCTTTTCTCTCTCCTCCAAAACAACGGAATGGTGTGAATGTGCAGCCGAGAGGACGACTCTGATATCCGCATCTACCAGAGCGCCTTCAAACTTCTACCAAGTTTACTCACATTTTCGGGAGACTCTGCATGGTAAGTACGCTCGTTTTCAAAGGCTAACGCTGTGAAAAGTCGCCAGTTATCTTGCTTCTGGAAGAGTATTGCTTATCAAATGACTGTCATTCTCCTAAACAAACCTGTGAATTGAGAAAAAAAAAAAATCTTTTCCAGCTAGCTAGTGTTTACTTAACCGCCCATAAATCCAGCTCAACATCTGTCTGTTGAGCCGTTGACATGCAGCTATCTTTCCTTTCCTTGAAGCTACGAGCTGTTAGCTAACGGTTGCTCGTGTTGAGGCCATGTTTTAACAGAAAACAAATGAGAGTTAAACGTGACACACAGGTAAACAGAGAGTGCTTCCAGCTAACAGAGGTAACTCCTTCAGCAGCATGATTCCGTGTGTACGCTGTCCCCTCTCAGTTAACGGGCAGTACAGACGCTCCTGTGGGATGAAACGTGACTGACAGTGGAGGCACAACTGCAGTATTTTACGTTTAAACTTATTAAGTTTACAGGAATTGTTTTATTTGCACATGGCAATAGGAGCTGCCTGAAATTAAACTGGTGGGTTGTTGTGTATTGTGAATGTTAGTCAGTGATGCTGTGACAGGATGAGGTTGTAATAGTTGTGGAATCAGCAGAGTGTAGATAAATGTGATTAATTAGCACAGCTATCAGACAGATTATTGATCTGCATTAATTAGATTGGTCCTGTATCTTACATGGAATCTGCACTTGTTTGTATTCATAGCATTTTACCAGCATTGATTGAAAGTTTGATTAACTCTGAATGGCCTGTCCAGGGATGTCTATGATGAAACATTTGACTGATTTGATCAATTGAGGGCTGCAGTTATTTTTACTATTACTTGATCTGACAATTATTTGTGGATTAATTGTTTAGTCTATGAAGTATCAAAAAACTAAATTTGAAACACCCATCGTAGTTTCTCAGAGCCCAAAGTAACGTCTTAAAATGTGTTATTTTGTCCCAGCAACTGTCCACATGCCGGAGATGTTCAATTTACAATGATACAAAACAGAGAATAGCAGTAAATCCTCACATTTGAAAAACCAGAACCAGTGAATGATGGTCATTTTTGCCTAATACATGACTGACAAGATTAAACAGTTATCAAAATAGTTACAGATTATGATTTTGTCAAATAACTAAATTAGTCATGTAATCGATTTAGCTCTAATTTAAGAAATTGGATATCAATACTAAAACTTGCCTGTTACAACATGGTATTTGATGGACTTAACAGGATCTGAAGTGTCAAAAATGCAGCACTATGACTAATACAAACTGGTTTCACCATTTGTTTTATGGTTAATCCTAATTATACAGTATGCAGGGAACTCAGATTGCAAATGTGCACACCATGCACAGCTGTCAGGGTCTGAACTCAGAGTGGGATGTTTGCAGCGTATCAGCCCTGAAGGTGTTGCTGTGTGCTGAATTGTGTGTGGTCAGGGTCTGTAGCTCTGTGAGAAATACGGCTGTGAGAAAAGACTTGTAATCAGTCATTCAGAGCTGCACTTTTGTGATGGAAGGGGTGAGAAGTTTGGTGGTTTGCCAGTAAGAGCCGGTACGCATTCACACAGAAAGAGGCCCAGTTCATCTGACCCGTGAACATCTAGATGACTTACTGTATGAAGCACACTAGTGTCAGATTAATAAGTCTTTACATCTTACTCATGCACCACATGATGCTGTTTGTAATACAGTCACTGCCTCAGCCTTTTGTGCTGCTGCTCTCTTCACTTATGGCTTTGTGATTATGGAAACATAGTATATGCCCTCTGGATATCACAACACTTAACTGCATTGTATGCATATATGATGACACAGATACAAGCCAGGCCTTTAACACTGAAGTGACCACAAGAATGTAGCTTGGTTTCAGTAATGTGCAGGACTTTCAGTCTGGGGGTCTACATGCTCTGATGTACTTTCCAGATCTTCTTTGGGTGAATAGTTGTTCGGCTTAGACGGTCAGGGTTGAAGAGAAGTCACATGAGGTGATTTGAGTTGTTGCTGCAACAAAACCAGGACCATGGCATGGGGCTTTTTGTGTAAAACCACTACACTCATCCCAAAACAAGTTTGAAAAGTCTCTGGGTAAATCTTTGAATATAATAAGTAAGTGTTTCCTTTTAGCTCCTTAAATCTTTGACCTTAATCTGAACAGCCTCATATGCATCAGAAGAATTAGATGCTGTTTTGTTTCACTCCTGAAAGTCACCTTCCTTTGCACTGGTCTGGGTATTGCAGCACAGTTTACCTTTGATTAGTCAGTGAGGAGATGAATGTCAAAGAGGGCCATATATCAAACAGAGGGCACTGGCTCTCCTTCAGTAGCTGAAAGTGTAATATTTGTCATGATCCTCCAAAATGACTTCCCAGCCCCAGCAGCTGCCACTCAGTGAAAGGCCCTTTTGTCCTGTGCAAGCTGCTTGCACTGCAGAGCAATGCACCTTAGTGCTTTGTGCATCACTTCCCATACACACTCTGCATGAGTCAGAAAGGTGCACATCTGTTTCTTCCACATGGTTCTTTACTAGTCACCCAGCCTTTAAACTGTGAACATATGCAGTTCCTGTCACAGCACCTTCAACACATGGGTCTGACATTAGAGTTACAGTTACAGTTTTTGTTGTCATAAAGTATCAGATATCACTCAGAGAAGCAGTTTGCATAACTTTGTCTGTGAACCGCATCTTTCTGAAAAATGTTTTGCTTGTGGCTGCAGAACGTGCCTGATAACCATCCAGAATTGGAGGAAAAAACACACAGTTTGAAATGATTGAAATGAATGAGATAAATTGGTGCCAGTTTAATCTTTCAATAATCCACTTTTAAACCTTGATTCAACATTTGAAAAACAAAGGTCCTGATGATCAGAAAGGAGAAGCTCTTGCATTGTTTTGGAATCTACAGGCCATAAATGTACAGTTAGTTTTAATGCAGAGTGTCAGAATAACTATTGTATGTGTTCCTAATCTGCTTTGCTGCTCCAAAGTTGTGAAACTCCTCAACTTCTCGTGTCTGATCCTCACGACTCACTGCTTTGATGCAATTGCAATGATATTTTTCTATCTGATGTCTTTCCTCTTTGTTGTAAAGCTTTTTGAAGTGTGGTAACCAAGAAAATGAAATGAATATATTGCTTTTATTTTAGGTTAATAGCGACTTTAATCATTTTACCTACTGGCATATCTTCTTTGTAAAGGTTCAGGATACATTTCTAATGGTCGTGTCTAAAATTAATGACCTTCAAATCCAACCCATCTAATCAAAATTATGTCTGTATAGAGTAGTACATAAATGGCAAAAATCAACATAATTGTTATTAGAGCTAGAATGATACATTGGCGCACAAATATATAAAGTGATATTGGCTTATTGCAGATAAATTTTATTGATGTATTGGTTGGGCTGTAATACCTGGATTTCTCTGATGTATGGCTGCCAAATCATGAAAAACTTAATAGAAAAATGTGGAAAAAAATTACCAATGCAAAACAATGAATTCTGATCAGAACAACAGTCATTTAATTCTATATACCTGCATATGAACTCTTGGGATAATGCAATACATTTCCTGTTTCTACAGTTATAATGAACTAAAATTTGAATACTGGTCACTGTATATAAACTGTCATGTTAGTGCAGCTGTTGTGTATGGGAAAAAGCCTCTGGGTGGGTTTTTCCGTGTGGCAGCAGGTGACTGATATCTGGGGGCCGGTGTTGCTAGGAGACATGCTGACAACTTCCGTGGTGTACCACTAACTGGAGCATGTGATAACCATATATAGCCTATGAATGTTGATACAAGACATTTTTTCCCTTTTTTCAGCATGGTACATATTGTTGGTTAGAGACATTTAAGACATCTTTCCAACATGCAGCATTTGGGAGGACTTGTCGTGCTGTTCAGTTTGTCTTTCACTCGGGAAGTGGAAGGTAGTTAGCCTAGCTGGTTAGAATAAGCACTGCTTCTCACAAGATGTTACTTTTTGTTCATGCCCTTTCACCCCCTACTCAGTATATTTGTTGCACATAATAGAAAAGAGGGGGTCTAGCTAGCGTTAGCAATCTCTCCTTCTTGGGTGCAGATGTGGAGATGGTAAATGACTTACAAAGCTAACAGCAACAGGCCTGTATCCTCGAATCACAGATCGGACATAGCGATGGCTACCAACATCAGTCCTCATCTGGTTGACTGCCTGTGATATAACAAACAGTGGCCACCCCCACACAGATATTGCACAAGTCAAACATTCACGGAGAATGTAGGGGGAGACTTCAGTTTGACTCCAGATTAGAATCACTCGCACTTTATATTTTGCATGTTCAACTTATTAGTTCACACTTAGGTGAAAATGAAAAGTTCTCGTCTTAAAGAGAGGGTTTCTTACCTGATTTTATGCAATCTTAACATTTCCTTTTAAAATATGTTTTATTTATTAAATGCAACCTTAATGTCATCTAAATGTTTTATTTGTAATGTATTTCCATTCCTCTGTAACTGTGCACTTTGAATTGTCTTGTGTCTGAATGATGCTATATAAATAAACTTGCCTTGTCTATTATTTTTTGTTGGTTAAGATGAACTCTGTAGAGTGTAAAAATGTGGGACATGCGTACTGTATAATAGTACATGATTTTTTATTTTTTTTGCTGTCATGGCAGTCAATGTTTGTGGTTAGATTACTAAAATTAAAGCTTCAGGTGAGGTCATGCTGATTAGCTTGGTGGTACTAAGCTGCTTACTCAAGACCCCACTGGAGCATCCAGTGTTTCCTGATGCTCTCAGTTAAAGTGTGTTAATAACCTGTGGCATGTTCCTGAGTGTTTCACACCCAGAAAGTCAGTCAGCCATCCCACACTCTCACCAGCCGTGGGCACGGGAAAGGTGTGTGTGCCACGAAGCATAAATGACCCCCAATTAACCCTCCCGGATTAATCCCCTGTTCTCCAAACTGCTCATTCTCATCGCATCATGCACACTGCGTATATTAAGCAGAGCCCAGTCCCCTGCTGTTTGGCCATGCTCAAATACAACATACTTCTTCTGGTTGACTTTCTGTACTTTTGTTCACTTTGCAGCTGGAGCTTGAAGCTGACTTCCTGTAGGCCGCTTCACAGAGAGGGAAATCCTTGTGGAAAGCAGGAGAAAGGCCTGTTCACCTACCTTCCTCACACTGGAAGCTGCAGGATAATAACAAAATGGCTAGAAGATCCCCCATTCCCGTGTTACTTCTTGCAATATGTTGCCTGGCATCTGCAGGTAAGTTTCTCTTACTCCCCATGTGTATCTGAAAATATTTCAGTTCTCAGATATGCATGATGTTGTTTGAATTTAATTGTCATTGTTTTGAGCCAAAATTGTATCCATTCAAATTACACTGACTATCCACTAAGGCTTGCCGTGCTGTGCCCATACTCTGGGATTTTCCACTCTTTCTCCCAGCATGCCTTTCTAGACAGTGCTTGTCAGAATCGTGAGTAAGGGGGATTTACCTTTTAAGAAAGTGCTGACAAGTTCAATCTCAGAACACAAAGACTCAGTAGGCCTACATGTATCTGTCAGATTGATTGGAATGAGACTCAAATACAGCCAAACACCCAGTAATTTACAGCCGTTAGACTTGAAAAATAGAGAGAGAGAGGGAGAGAGAGAGAGAGAGAGAGAGAATAACCAAGAAAACAGCTACAGAGGTGAATGCAGGAAATGTCTGGGCACTATCAATGTATCATATCAATTCACTTAAGGCTCTGAATGATGTCACATACTGCCTCAAACTACCCTACGAACCTTATCTCACTGATGAGAAATACAATGCTGTATCTCTCACTCAGGAGAAGATGAATGTTGTTCATGACCTTTTATAGTCCAGTAATTTTTGTCGGTGTGAGCAACAGTTTCCTACAGTGCTGAGACTTATATCTGTGACACCTTACCACTTACTTTACTTTGTCACAGTCACCTCTGTGGTCTTTAGATTGCCCCCATTGTGTCAGGCTGCGGGATGCAATGACTGGCTAATTTAACTGTGCTAAGGTTTAAGACCAGAGGAGATCGTGCTTTTGATGTTAGGGCACCTAAGCTCTGGAGCTCAGACTCACCAAATCACTATCTTCTTTTCACTTCTTAAATCTAATTTTCATTGCTTAACCTTTAGATAATTTGAATGTTTTTGTGTGACATCTTTTTATGGTTTATAAGCTGCACATTTCAGATATCAGTCTAATGGTCTGTAAAAGCATCATGTAACTTTTTTGTTGTTGTGTGTAAAGCACTTTGTGACATTGGTTTTGAAAGGTGCTTTGAAAACAAACTTGATTATTCTTATTTTTATTATTGTTATAAGACATGGGAAAATCTACTCATGTAAATAGAACATTCTCATAGAAAATGCATATCAGATATGTTGATAATACCATTTGGACTTGTAGGCCTCTGCCACTTACAGAAGATGTGGCTAAGAGTCCGCAGCGTGAGGCTGTACGTAGGTACACTGGTGCTTTGAGATCAATGCCAACACCAGCATGCTAAAATGCCCATAATTTTATCAGGTAATGTTGATCATCAGCATCTTAAGCATGTAAGCATGCTAACATTTGCTCATTAGCACTAAACACAAAGTACAGCTGAGGCTGATGCGAATAGAGGACTAGAGGAAAAGTCAGGGGATCAAAAACGTTATTACAGTGCATCCTTAGGTGGACAGGAATGTTGGCACTGAATGTTGGAGTTCATGTCAGATTTTTACCTTCAACCATGAACCTACTTGGAAATGTCAGGGGACCACCAAAGTCATTAGATTACATCCCCTTGGAACCACAAATGTCAGTATGAAATTACTGCTGGTCAATTTACTGACGTAGAGAAATTTCACTTGATACAGTGACTGTGACCTGCCTCTGGCCCCAGAAAGGTTAACGGACCAACAAGCGGTCAAGTCCTTAGGATTTCTCTTCCAGACTTAAATGTAATAGTCTCACAAGTTCTATGTTTGTCATTGTCATGGTCATAGAAATGTATGATTTCGGCTTCATTTCATGTGTCTGTTAAACTGCCAATGGTGTAAAAAGAGGGTCGCACCATGGCAACCACTCTGTCTTAGCACTTGTTGAATATAATATGGGAAAAATATGGGAAAGTCTACGACAATGGCACAGTCAATAAAAATAATTATTTTATGTCATTTCTATTTTCCTTATTGCAGAAAAAAACCCATAGATTTTCTGTTGCTGGTGAGAATTGGGTTTGTGGTCATATCTGTACTGACTAGAAGTGAGTGGAGTCTGAAGTTGTGGAGTTGGCCACTAGCTGTATTTAGAGGAACTGTCACTGCTGTAACATCTACATTGGTTTCAAAATCCAACAGTGGTTTTTGTTGCTTGGTAACTTGACCAAAATGTTAAATTTGCTGACCTAAGCCTGACACTCAGCCCCACGGTTTGATGACAGACATGTCAAGTTGGCTAGAATATGGCACGACCCGCTCAGAGAATCTATTGTACATTCCTCTTCTATTTTTCACATTGTTATATGTTTTGTTTATAGAGACTGGTTTTACAACGTACGACTTTGGATTTGAACCCACTCCAGCTTTAATCTGCAACATCCCGTATTGTTTTTCTGTGGTAGCCCAGGAATGATTACCCAGTAGGAGGCGTGCTACATAACTAGCGCAGCAAAAAAAGTGTGGTTCGTGTTTTTCATGCTTTCAGTCTGATTGCCGCCATAGGTTATTATTTCAAAAGTTCTTCTCCATTCTCTGGAGGTTTGAACCGCACTCTAGAGAGCTGCATTTTACTCAAACAATAGCAGTGTAGTCAGTATGTGCTGTGGGTAGAGCAAACATAATTTCTTCCACAATGCCAGGATCTCCAACACAATGAAGTCACGTATGAAGTTTTCCTCTAAATTCTTCCTCATACGGCACAAGGCATTGTTGTACTGTGTCACAAGGGACAGATATTTACAGTTGGACAACCAAATGCCCTTTCCTCCAAAGTGCACTGGCAGCCAGTGATTTATAGACAAATCTTCAGATTCTCTGAGTTATCCAAACACTTCATTTTTGAGCAGGTAAAATGCAGGTCAATCAACACATTTTGATTCAAATTTCAAGGCCACAAGACCTCCACCTGCTTTTATACAAATGAAGTTATTTTCCAACTGTCAATTGTAAGCTTATCATTTTTTTATCCACCACCTTTCAGCCTATCTTCCATCTCTCTTCTTATTCTGTCTGCTTCTATCATCTCACAGCATCTGTGTAAACAGTCACATCTGCCCTCTAAACTTGTCAGGACAGCTCTTACGTAATGTTTAGATTAGTCTGCAATGAGTCTTCTCTCAGCGTAATGCAACCCAGGATCTGGGCCTCCCATAACTCTTAAAAGTCAGGCTGAGAGCACCTTGACGTCAATATTTCAAGTCTCTGCTCTGCTGCTTCACTCTACTTTTCGGTGTTTATAACTTTTTTTTCTCCATATTCTTACTACCATTTTGTGGTTGTGTCTCCCCAACTTGCCAAAATAGTTATTTAATGAAGGATATATTGTGGAGCTTCGGGCTGACTTTGGGTTTTGCAGTGAAATAGAGTCTTGTAGGAGCCCTGCCAGATATTAATTTGAGGCACTTGCCAGAAACAGCTCCGGCAGGATGCTGGTTATCCTGGAGGCACAACGCCGGGCATCGCTCGCTGAAAAACACACCAGTATTATTGAGTGCAGAAGTACTTTCACCTCCTCTTATAGCCTTTCCTGATTTTACGTATGGGGCAGCTTGATGAATGACGAAGCAATCAGAGTGAATCTGTCTTCAGCTATTCATTGTAGAAGTTTTTAGTCTATACACTGGGATTGTGAAACATAACAATAACTGGAAAAAGGAATTCAATTGTGCACAGTCCATATGTTTAACTTAAGGATTTTTAAATGAATGTCTTTACAGTAAAGTAAACTTTCTCTCTGTCTGCATTTTTGTATACTCTTGGCAGACAAGAGTCACTATGATGCCAAAAGTGGTTGTGATGTTTTTTCCCCCCACAGTTGAGCAAAAGGTTCGTCTCTATATCCAAAATGTGTTCTTAGGGCCAGCAAGAGGGGGGCTGCCAAAATGCATTGTGCAACCACTGTAATCTGAGAGGTGGGATAGCCAGGGGGAGGAGAGAGGCCGGCGCAGGCGTGGGTCGTCTGGTCCAAATCGACACACTCCACACACGTACAGTTTGCCAAACCAACAGAGTCCCTTCCAGCATGCTAAACCAGATGTTGCCCTGTGATTCATGAGAGGAGCTGGAGCAGCGCAGCACAGAGGCAGTGTGCTGCTAGGCAGAGTGGTTGGGATGTTTACATAGCAACGGGAGTCCTGAGTGTGTCTAATTACAGGTCTTCTCTCCCCCATGGTGAGGCCTTTATCTTAACAGCGCTGTCAAGGAGGAGGCAGCCATTCTGTCCGTTTACATCTCTTGCTCATTAAACCCAGGTCACCCTAGTATTACCCACTTTAATTAAAAGCAGTGTATAAATTGAATTGTGGAGTATTTACATACCGATTTAAGTGAATCTTACTCACTTGCTTTGATTCTCTCTCTTGCACACACACTTAGTCAAGCGGGAGCACTTGAACTGCAGCAGACAGATCTTGTATCTCATATTTTCATCCAGGTTCGTCATTTCTTGTCAGTCTCCCATTAAGAGGAACGCTTACGCAAATCGGCAGGAGTAAACCGAATCCAGCCCCCTTTCCTCTCTATCTCTCCATAGTTCCAGTAAGCAGGCGTATAAATAATTTAGTTCAGAGCCAGTAATGAGAGACAGCTGGGGTGATTGTGCGTTTTCCATTGTGTTTCACAGCCCGGTAAAGAAAAAAAAAAAAAAGAAGCCACTGGAGCTGGGGAGAGTTAGAGTAAGTGTGACTTCATTGAAGAAAGAGAGAATAATAATGAAAAACTGGACTCTGTCTCTTCACTTAACCTTTGGAGGCAGAAAGAAAAAATATGTAGTGCTATCATGTTGTAAAGGTCACGATGTGGAGTAGTTTATATTTCTCAACCATGACCAGTGTGAGTTTATGGGAAATTTAGTTGCCTAATCACTTTGCAAAGGTGCCAACTTTTGAGTGCATGACTCTTTATCTCCAAAAAAAACATGGGATGCTAGGTGAAGGTTTCCAGGTGGTGTCTTTCATCAGACCAGCCCCTCTTGGGGCCTCACCTTCCCCAGTCTATTTCCACCAGATGAGTCCTGCTGAAAGACCATGTCCTAATT